ACTTAACAAACGTCGACTTCTCTAAGTTGAAGTGTTCTTCACATAACTACGTGAGTTGGAGACACAAAGACGTTGTCAAACCCCAAATTGAAGATTGGTTAAAACAGGGTCTAATTGAAATCAATTATGATGCAATCCCAGTTAACTTAGCTCTCTTAGCGGTCGATCAATATAAATCTGATGGAACGTTGAGTAAAACAAGAGTAGTACTAGACCTGTCGCCAATCAACACACTAATTCCGCAACATAGTTTCCCCTTACCAAAGATAAGCGGGATACTACACAAAATGGAAGGTGCGACTATCATTTCCAAGGTAGACTTAAAAGCTGCATTCCATCAATTACAAATATATGAGCCGCATAGGAAATGACAAGTGCTCTTTTGCTAAAGATACCATACACTTACTTGGATACAAGGTATCTGCAGCAGGGGTAGAAATTGATCCTGACAAGAAACAATTTCTGTTGGATTTATCAACACCGATTACTGGAAGAGATGTGAACTCTGTGTGTGGGTTTGTTAACTTCTTCTCGGATTCGGTACCTCATCTTTCTCATTACTTAAAGCCTTTCAGTCACCTACGGCTGCACAAAGGACCTTTGGGAAAGCTTTGGACTAAGGAATGTGATGATGCGTTTAAGCTAGTCAAAAGTAAAGTAATGGACACACCCATCACGCAATACCCTGTGGATGGCGTCCCATTCCAAGTAGCAACCGACTTCGGATTGAGCGGTAGGTGGAGTGCTATACCAAACGATAAATGGTAAACCGCACTACATATAATTATTTAGCAAGAATTATAATAAGAGTCAACGGAATTGCTCTACCGTTAAGGAAGAGCTCCTTGCTATTGCTACTGCGTTATGACAGTTTGAAGACTACCTTTGTGGAAGTTACTTCACTGTCGCCTGTGATCAAAATTCATAAACATATTTAAAGGACATGAACCCTGATTCACAGTTGGTGAGCCGCTGGCATGACATTATTGCTAAGTTCGCTTTTAACATTACACACATACCAGGAATACATAATCATTTTCCTGACATGCTCACTCGACTTGTCCCTGACTACCAGAAAACAGTTAAAGAGTTATAAGCAACCGATTGGATGCTTTATAAAAAATGGTCTAACCTCGCTCAATCAAGATGGGGTCCATTACTATTGATATGTTCGCCGCAGAACATAACAAACAGGCTTCTGATTATATGTCGTTGACTCATCCTAAAGGTGATGCCTTTCAACTTGACTTATCAAAGCATAATGCGTGGGCTAATCCACCTTGGCAACTTATCGCACAGTTGTTAAATTATGTTAATATTACTTAATCTACCTTTACGCTGTGTTGTCCCTTACGTAGCTCCGACCCATGGATACGTGATTTAATTAATATGATACAAGACGAGCCTATCTATGTCGAAACCGACACGTTCTTGTATTAGGGATCCTATTCTATTAAGGAGACACCTTGGAAACACACCATCGTTTGTCGCATCGGTCCTGCAGGTACCACTAAGTGGAAACCCACAACCGAGTTCTTAGCTAAACTAGAGGAGTCTAAGGAGTTTGAACAAAAGCTCAAGACTCGTACAACACATGCACCCAACAAGAATGCAGTCGAGGTATTGCCGATCGAGACGGCATTAGATCGTAAATACTTGGAACTAGCTAAGGCCATGGATCAAAGACTCAAAGCTCTAAGAGAACCTGAAGCTCGCACTGAACTACTTAAAGCGCTGTTTAAACAACAGCCAGGAGTTGCGAAACAACTGAAGAAGATACTTCAACAATCTAATGTTGTCAATTATGTATCTCAGGAGTCTACCCCTCCTGATACTGAGGTTGCCCTATCTAACGGGACTATGGTTCATCCAGCCAGCGTTACACAGAATCTGACTGACTTAAAAGAGCTTGAGAGTAGAGTTAAAATAATACGTAATTTAACTCATCGAGCATATGAGCATACTTATAAGATGGCTATTCGTGCAGGGCTTGATCACCCGGCGTTGAAAGAAACCATACGTGAAGTATACCGACGCTGTACTGATTGTGGAAAGAACCAGATCAAGCGCTACGGTTGGGCACCCCTAAAAAGTTTGACAGAAGACCAACCGATGCGCCGAGTCATAGTCGAATTGATTAAACTCCCGCGATCCAAGCATACTGGCGATGTATATATCTGTCATTTCTTATGTGTGGCTTCGGGCTATAACATGCTTTATGCAATACCGAACAAACGCCTGCAAACAGTGGCAGAGTTATGCTATCACGTCTTTAATGACTTCGGTTTCCCCCGAGTACTATGTTCTGATAACGGTAGTGAGTTTTGTACCGACGTAATGGAGGCACTTATACTCGTATCAGGCATGACCCATAGGCGTGGTGTTCCTTATAAACCTCAAACGCAGGGTGCAAATGAGACACGTCATAGAGAACTAAAGAAGCTATTGCGTACCGCACTGGATGACGTTGAGGATATGTGGCCTTATCCTTTGAAATGGGTTCAGACTCAAATGAATAACTACATGAATCCTCAAACTGGAACACTCCCATTTCACTATTTCTTTGGCCACTATAGTGAATTACAAGCAACGTTTGACAAAACTGCGCCCGAGAAACACGTTACTCCGTGACTAAAAAATATCGAGCATATGCAGAACGTTGTTTACCCCTGTTTACTCGAGCATAAAAATCGTGTCCTACTTAAAGCGCATGACCGATGGAATAACACTAAGAACATTGTTCAGTTCAAAGTTGGCGATTATGCTAATATTATAAATCGCAATGTATTTCGTACCATGATGAGAAGAGTGATACTTACGAAATAAATAACATAGATGGTACTAGCGCAACTAATCTGGGCACTCACCGTATCCCTACCTTCGAACTGTCATTCGCTCGCTCATTTGATTTTGATGTCCCAGTTATGGAGTCACAAGTCAGAGACATAATCGTCAAAACATCCGAAGACGGTTATACTTACTACAAGACCCGTTTTATGGATGGGACAGTAGCTTGGCTAACATCCGATGCGTTTCGTGAATCTCGCGACTTCCTTCGTATTTTTAAAAAGAAATGGAATAAGCGTTTACATAAGAACACACGAGATAAACGGAAAGGATTTCCTCAGGTGATGGATATGAAATTCCCTACTTGCCACCTACTTCCTATGTGACTAAACTTTCTGATCTGCTTACCAACAGAGCAGAAATTTCTTCAAACTTACTTACTAATGAAGAACAACCTTTGGCAATTATCTTACCAAGTAATAAACGTAAGGCGCCTACATCGGAAATGGTTACTGGACCAAATACTAATCGACATAGAGTACAACATGAGTCTTGAACTCGTACATATAGGCACATACTTACTCGATAAGCCATGATCGAAACCGTTTTACTTTGGTTTTCGCTTTACAAACTAGATCATACCTTCACGTACGTCTGTAGTCCTAAACGCTACTGGGGGCTATGTAGAAATACGGCCTCCGGTCAGTCTAAAATATCAAGATCAAATGAGATAACACATTGGTTTTTATTTGCATTTAAAATAATTTAATACAAGTTAATTTTCCAATATTTCCAAAGTGTTCTAAATTCACTTTGATGGCTCCAATAGCCTGACTATTTGGTATGACTCATTTACTTGGACCTATTTGAGACGATAGTAGATGTAGGATATTATAAACTGAATTTTATAATCTCTGAACTACTACTTACAGGTTTTGATCTTCTCGCCAATCTCCAAAATTCAATAAGTCTTTTTCTTTTTTTAACTTTTCTTCAGATGTAACTTTATTTACATTAGCTAATGTATTAACTTGACTTACGTTCTTATGTCTATCTACAAATTAGACATCTGGTCATGAACACTTAGTACTTCTAGTGAAAATTATTCAATAAAGAACAGCTAGAGGTACGTCCCGTGTGATCGAGGATATTAAGGCTCTTACCAAGAGGCAGTCCCGATCATTCATACACAAGCTACCACTGCTAAATCCTAACTGACTTAAATTGTATCTTAATATATATAACGTAGTTTAAAACATAGAAATATCCATCGAAGTTTGCATCCCCTAAGGGTCCTCTGGTCAGATCCCATAATAATCCCCTAGGTCCGGTCCCCTGGTCCGGTCCTAAACTTGCCTTTCAGGTCGGTGTTCTGGTCCAGTCCTAAATATTCGCCTAGGGATAATATTATTTATTTCAAAGGAGATAAGTTACATTGTACGTACATATGGTATGGCTCTCATAGCCGTTGTAGTGGTTCGGGGAAGATTGATGGAAAGCAGTGGTAAGTAAATTCCCGTTTGGAGCTTGGGCCAAGTGATTCGACGATAAAGGATATGCGCGGGGTAAATTCAGGCCATTGCTGACAAAACCTTGACACCATCGAGTGTGCCACGCATTCGCTTGCTGACTTACAGAGCAGTAGCGTACCTACCTTTGTGGTACGGATCGGATCTGCACCGTGTAGTGCCGTGAAATGTAGCGCAGAGTACAAAATGCCGAGTAAGGCCAGCTTATCCGTCATAATTCAGTTGAGGAGCGAAGTTGGAGGTGAAACGATGCCACACCAGACCACGGATGCACTCGGTATGTGCTGACTGGCCTGTATCGAATGTATCATAGGCGGAAGCAACAGGCGCGATGACTTGGTTTGGACCGAAATTTGGAAGTCGTACTTCAACAGTGTGATTGGCCGGGTTATCGGGAACATCTGTTGATGTGTCAGAAACGGGTGTATGTACGGGGTTTTTTCTATATGCTGGAGAAATGATCCAAGGTGTTCGTGGAGGGTCCAGATACCGTGGAAGTCGTGGCGCTCTTGTAATTGCTGGAGCCAATGGGAGGCAGTTTCGGGTCTACCAGGATGCGTAGGATCAATTATTGGATGCAGGCAAAGTGCCTGGTGGTGAATTTGTGGCCACCGGGGCAAACAGGGTAGAGACAGCCGTCGGTGTGGTAGTCGAGCAATATGAACATGTACGTATTCGTTACAATCATAGCACCGAGCCGATTGGTGTAGGCACGAAGCCGCGGTTGAAGCTGTCGTGGCTTGTCCCGATTTGAGGTTGGCGATTTGCCCATGACCAGTTGGTAGTAGTATTGGCACCGGGCGATTGCCGCGATCTCGTTGTTGGACCAGAGTTTTGTCGAGCTCTTCCTAATGTCGTCACAGCGTCAGCAGATGGTTTTTTCAGGTAGGCATAGATACTGTACGGGAAGCGCAGTGATGATATGTTGTGGGCCCAGGCGGGTTGCGTCAGAGGGGTGAGTGGGTCTGTGCTGGCCATTGAGTCGAGTTGTATTCCCAGGCAACCTCCGGGGTAGTTCGCGAATGGTCGCGTGAAGATGCGAGCAGGCCACAAAAGTAAAGTAAGTTTGTTTGATATTTGGGAAACCTAGGGTATTTAGTACCCGTGATGATGGATGCTGCTTGGATGAGTGCTGAGTTTTAGCGCTCGAACAGGGGGCCAGCGCATCTGCTTCCATATAGGCAGAGCCGAGGCAATAATGTTCAGGCCATATATAGCCGTGGACAGGATGAATGTTTTGAACAGCACCAGCCGGTTGCTGTTCAAAACATTCATCCTACCACATCCGAGTCCTGGCAATATTGGATAATTCCGTCCTGTTCGAGAAGTTCGAATTCTGACTGAATCATCGTGTTATTCCACCTCTGGTATTGAAATCTACCAACTCTTCGTCGATTGTGGCGGACGCTCCTTCGGTCCTCACGTTGGCCGTATACTATACTCATGGTTTACACGTGTCCTGATACACCACCAGTGCCCTCACACACACACACACTCTCTCTCTCTC